ATTTAATGAATGAATTTTAATTTAATGAATGAATTTTAATTTAATGAATGAATTTTAATTTAATGAATGAATTTTAATTTAATGAATGAATTTTAAATTAATAAATTAGTCAAGCAGAAAAGGCATTGTTAGAAATTTCAACTTTACAATCTGTCTTATCTAATCATTTGGCCGTTCAAACCCAACAAACTGATCGTCTATATGCTGAAGCTGTTGCCATTACAGATAGAGTCCAAGAAGGAAATTTATTATTAACTAAAGCTAGGCAAAGAGCTTCTGACACAAGAAAATGGATATTAATTTTTTTAATATTAGCAAGTTTTGTGTTGCTATTTTTAGATTGGTATGATTAAAAATTTGGATTTATATACAAATTAATAAATTATTTTTAAATCTTTTTATGATGATAAATTATAATATAAATTATAATTTGAATTTTATCATAAAAAAAAAAGTTTTTATGACATCTTTTTAATAAAATAAATAAACCATTTGTACAAGTAATATAAAATGATCTAAAAAAAAACACTTAGATTACATATTCTTTTATTATGGTGTGTTCTCTGCAACATCAGCCTCTTTGATGGAATCCTTTTCATCTACTTTCTTTTTCTTATTTTTTTTCTTACTTTTTATACTAGTAGAAAGTAAAGCCGAAATATCTGGATCTTCTATTTTCTTTTCACTCTGTACGATCTCGGAATCATATAGAGTATTGGTGATTTTAATTGTACCATTTTTAGTTAGAAGAACGGTATTGAAAAATTGTGCTATGAAATCGCCTATATGATTATTAAAGATATTATTAACGTACCCAGATAATGAATGTGATTTTGACGAGTGTGAATTTATTTAAATGGTTAAAAAAAAAAAAAACAGACCTTCCTTTTCCTGATACACATCATATGGTGTTACTAAAAGATGTTTGGCACATTCAACTATGCCCATTCTCGCCTTTTTCTCGTCCCCTAAGGCTCTTAAGGTAAAAGGAAAGGAACCAAATTTCTGACTAATTTCGGTAAATACAATTCGAGAAGTCTTTATTTTTAAAAAATAAGTAGTATCTGTCTTTTTATAAACAGTCGTGCGTGCTGATGATTGCTTGGGCTACAAAATATTATAAATTATTATTATGACTTTAATCTAATATTTTAATAAGTTAAATGTATAATAATAACGATAATAAATGATGAGACTTTTTTACCTTGCCTTCTCCAGTAGAGATTAATATATCAATTCCATATACTTCATTCTCTCCGAACTGCACACTTTCAAATTCGCGTTTCTGATGTTCATTTGGATTGAGAATTATTTGTTTTTTACCTTCAATATTGTTTCTTTCTTGTTGGTATGACAACATTCCTTATAAAAAAATTTTAATAAAAATTTGAATAATTCGCGGCTTCAAATAATTTTATATATTCTCGTTTTGATTATATTACCTTCTACAGAATTTGTTTCGAATGACTCGGCAATCTTTTGTATCGCCTTGGTTACGTCCATATTGTCCAAACCTGGTTTTATCAATCTCAAAGCAGCTTCTGATGCCAGATGAGCAGCAGTTAATAAATCAGCCAAACGACCCTTAACTGGCATTTCTTTTGATGCACCAACAACAATGGTAGTTGCTACAATAGCAGCGTAACCATCGATTTGGGCACCCAACTGAATTTTAGCCAAGTCCCCATTTTTTAGCGTTTCTGTTCCCTCAGGATCAGACAGTAATGGAGAAAAATGGCAAATGATATGGTTAACAGAAACACAAGTGGGAAAAGCAACACCTACAAAATAATTAATAATTAATGTAATTAATAATTTAATTAATATTTAGTTCTCAAGAAAAAATATTAGAAGATACTTTAAAATACCTTTCGACATATTTTTGTTTTTAGTATAAAGAACTTTTACACCATCTTCAATTAATTTATCCCCCAGTGCACAAAGTTCCAATATTTTTGCTCCATCAACAGCAGATTCAATTACTTTTTTAAGTACACCTATAGTTCAATAAGGTGAATAGAATTTGTAGATCAAGCTCTATAATTAACTGAACACAATAATATCCCAACTTTTATACAATAATATTTTCCTTGAACACTAAAACATTAACTATGTATCTAGGTTGATCTAAGTATCAAGATTCAATATTTCCGACAAGACCAAATAAATTCCATTGATATTAAAATATCTGAAAAGCACATATATAACATTATTAAAACGTACGATTCGAAACTTCTGCAGCCATTTGATATTTTGTGACAACATCGGAATTTGCTACGGTTTGGATTTCCTCCCCTTGTTCGTTTTCAGCCATATCTGACATTACAGTTTCTACAGTTTCAGTTTACGTTGTTATCAGGGATCTTTTGATTAGGTTAACCAATCAAATGAAAAATTTCAACGAACTGTGGTACAATAAAAGAACTCAATATTACTGGTCACTACGATAACCATGAAATTTGATTCTATTGGCTACAAAACTAATTCTCCGTCATATGATAAATTACTTTAAAATATATTTTTTTTAAAAAGATAAAAATTAAAACTATACACGCAAGTTACATTCTTACAGTACCAGAAAAAGGAAAACAAGGAAGAGGATGACCCTATAAATATAAACAAGTGGATAAAGAATATCAATAAGCATATATATCAATATTAGATATTCATATTAAAAATAATTGTCAATGGTTTATAAAGTGAGATGATGATATATTTTGTCTCTCCTTTTTACAAGTTTTTCAGGAAGACAACAAAAGTGAATTTATAACAAGGTTGCAAAGAGTATTTGACACTACTAGCAAATTATATATGTCATCAAAAGTAAAAAATCATTAACTCAATTTAATTTTTTCAATTTTTAATTATATTTAATTTGATAATTACTTTACTATATAAAAATAAAAATTTCACTTGAATATCCAATTCCAATTTTTTCAATTTTTTAATTGTACTTGATTTAATTTAATAATTTTGATAAAATGTATATAGCAAATCTTTTAAACACAATATAAAATATACAATTTATTCTAATATTATAATAAATATGAGACTTAAACTAACTTATTAGAAATATGCCTACAACTTATCACTTGACAAGAAAACTTGCCTTCAGTATATTAAGGCCTTGCTAAATAACCTATTATTATATACTGTTATAAATGTACAGAGTATTTCAATCACTTTTATCTATCAGTCTCAGAGTTTGTCTTACATATTCTATTTGTCAGTAGGTCAAATAATTTATCAATTTAAACTTGTCTATTTCAAAAAAAGATAATAAATATAATATAATTCTTTTTAATTCTTTATTTTTAATCTGAAGACTTAGTGAGTAAGATGTAGTATCAAATAACATTTAACAATATTTCACAATATTACAATACAAAAGGTAAGCTTATTAAAATATAAAAGATACAAATTTAAAAGTAAAATATCATTTATAACAGAAATAATACATGTTACATGTCAATACTACCTAGTTGGAAGAGCAATTACAAGTACAATAAAGTATTTGAGTTTAATCCAGTAGTTATTAGAGGTTTGGGAAGTATGGAATAACTTGTAATATTAATAAAAACTTTAATTTATTCTGTAAAATTGAAATAAAACAAAAAACTAGAATGAAACAGTAATAGAATAAAATCAGATAAACACAAAAAACTAAGAAAAAACAAAGCAGTAATAAAGATAACAAAAGAATAAAAATAATAATAAATAGTAACAAGAGATAAAAAATAGAAATAAATAACAAATTAAAAGAGTTTAAAGAAAGATTTGTATAGACTTAATAAATAAATAAATAGTAAAAAAAATAGAGAAAGTGTAATTCCAGTTAAGTCACATGACCAAATAAGTGAGAAATAAAAGAGTATAGTTTACTTTAAGAATTTAAGACTTAAAATTATACAATATTAATATTCTAATTAATCTTGAAAACAAAAGAAATTAGAATAATAAAAGATATAATTATATTATACATCAGGAAATTTTTAAAGGTGAAATATTTCGAAAATTTTTGCTTCATTAAATTTTTGGAGTTATACGACACCTTCGTAAATTTTTGAAAAAATTTTTGAAAATTTTCGAACCGTAAATCTCCGGAATTTTTTGTTTCATTTATTTTCAAAAATTTTTGCATATATTTTCGTAAATCTCCGTTTATTTTCGAAAATTTTTGCATATATTTTCGTAAATCTCTGTTT